AAACTTTTAAAATCATATTTTGAGAACCCAGGACCATAGCTTGAATTTTCTCCAAATAAAGCTGCCAAAAACATCACCAGACTCCTGTAAATTTGGATTCTTTGACTCTACCATGATTACTAGCAATTGATGACTATGTCCATGCCAGATGTTAGCTGCTAAAACGTTACAGGATGAAGGCCAACAGTGTTTCTATTTTAATGTGAAGTCATCTTGGGTCATAGGTTATATATTTTCACATTTTTAAAATAGTGGCTCCATCGTGTAATCTTCTTGATTTGCTCTTAGATGAAGGATGGTTGGACGTTGTCCAGTCTTTAATTAGAGTTATTCCATTGGAAGATCCATTGGGACCAGCTGTTATAACATTGTTACTAGATGAATGTCCATTGCCCACTAAAGTAAGTTAATACTTATCTTTTATGAAACTGTCATCTGTGCTTAAACACAGGATGAATGACCACAAGGAATATTTGATGTAATGCATTTCCTCTTTATGCACTTGGTATCTGTTTTATTCAGTATTAATTTCATTATATAAACCAATGAAGTGCTACATTCTCCTATCAATAGCTCACTATACAGCTTTAGTTTAAAATTTTAAAAATGGAGGCATTTAATCTAAAATACAATCTTTGGAAACTAGAAGAGAGGAATCAGTTGCCGAGCTGATTTTCTTATATTTAAACAATTTCCTCGTAACAAAAATTTTACACATTTTCTATTAAGAAAAAAACTGTTATACTGAAAGCACTTTTGAGTCCTATTCATACATTAAAGATTGTATAACCTTGATTATCCCTTACATAGAGCAAAAGTTCAAACTCTCATTGCCTTAGTCCATATGTTCTATGGAATCCTTTTTGTAAAATGCTGGGTTCTGGCATCTTTCATTTGTTTAAACCTCAGACCTTAAGGTCCAACATTGCAAAACAGTGTGGACAAAGGGAAAAGTCTTTGGCCAAGTCCCTGATGAATTGACTTGCTTAGGCTTATAGGAGGTTTGTTTCTATCCTAATTTGTCTCAAAAGTTCTGGTGAGATTTATTCTTGCTTGGTAAAAAGATAAAAATTTTTAAAGTAACCTTTTACTTCAACATCACTAGGCCCTGTTGTTATAAATTATAATGGCACTTGGGTAGATTTATTCTACCCAAATGATTTCATGATTCGAGAGTATATAACATATATTTGGTATGACTGTTATATTTTGAATGGAATAGAATTTAGCGATTTATGTGAGACAACTTTCAGGTTAATCAAATAATAGTTCCCATCAATAATGGTATATCGGGTACATTATATCATTTCTGTGTGGTTATTCTGAGTTAACACCTCATTATAGCTTTTGCCTATGAGGATTATCTTGGGAGTGGGGGGACCTAAGTAATGTATTTATGAAATCCACTTGTTCATTTTTTATTTTAGGATGCACTCCAGAAATTGACAGAAATTCTGAATTTAAATGGAGAAGTAGCCTGCCAGGACTCAGGTCATCCTGCCAAACACAGGAACACATCTGCTGTCCTGGGCTGCTTGGCCGAGAAACTAGCAGGTAACTCTGGGAAGCTCCACCAAGAAGATCTTAAATTGCTTGACATTAAGGGGAAGATTGCACTGCAGGGGGAGAGGAAAAAGAACTTTAAATTGGAGCAGTTCCTGAGAAGAGAAACAGATATTTAACTTCTTTATGAATAGTACCCATTTTAGGAAGGGTACTATTCAAGTACAGGGGACTAGCTCGCTATGTCACGTGGTGGAAGGAGCAGTGGCTTAGAAATCAGAACAAATGGGTGCTGGTTCATACTCTGCCATGTGCTCCCCAAGTGGCCTGGAGTAAGTCGCTTCACTTGGAGGGGGGAAGGGCGTTGGAGGACTCAGTTGCTCATCTATGATTTGGGGATAGTACTAGTCCCTACCTTGAGTGGGAGACTTGAATAAGATCATGGGCAGGAGAATGCTTGGTAAGAGCTCTACCAAAACAATTGTATTGTAACTAGTTACTGTTCAAAAAATAACGTGGCACATTTAATGATACCCAGTGTTTGTTGTATTCGTCTAGGTCCTGCAAGTATAGGTTTACTTAGCCCAGGAATACTGGAATATTTGCTACAGTGTCTGGTAAGTGAGACATCAAAGCTAGTTATTCTTAGCCATTTAGAATGGTGCATTTTTCTAAAATTGCCAGCTTAGCCATTGGCACAGAGAATGGAATCAGTTATAAATGTTATAAATTTTATTTGCAGGTGTTTCCTGAGTGTTTATTCCCTCCTATGTTAAAAAAAAATGAGGGTGGGATAGGAATTTATTACAAGCGAAAAACAGCTGGGCTGGGCTGGTTTTAAATGTAGTCACAAGATAGCGGCTATGATTGACTTACTGTGTGTGTCCTTAGGGTCTACCAAATGGTAGTAGGGACACCGCCCCCCCACCTCCCACCCCTTACCCCACGGAAACAAAACTACATGGCATTCCAAACCAGGAAACCTGCAGGTCAGATTCCCAGTGTATCTAAATCTCTAGTCCTCCGCCCCTCCCCTGTCACTAAGGCTCTTAAAACTGTTGTTGGGGATTTGATGTATTGTCGGGGAAGCTTGTGGTTTGCTGTGCCTCTGCCGTCAGACCTCACACTGCTGGGCTGCAGTCTGTATTTTTTAGTTATTTTTGCAGTGAGCGTTGGCCTTCAAAAGCTGAAAGACCTTTTTCAGTGCTACTAGTATGTGATGGGGACTTAAAACACTCGACATTATGTTAGGGAACCCCTCTGGGGATACGGAATTGAATACCAGTTCTTTGCCCTGGAGAAGTTTCCTGGTTAGTTGAGGGAACAAAACTACTCAGACAAGACAGTAAGCCTCCATTTGGTGGCAGGATATGATCAAGGGCAAAATCGCTTCCTTCAGACCACGTGCTGCGAGTTCTGAGGTGATAGGAGGTGGGAGCTATGGGTGGTGCTGGCGGGAGAGTCCTGGGCGACAGGCTTCCTGAGGAGGATGGGACCTCATGGGCCACACGCTGAGGATAGGAGTTGATTGTGCACACAGGGAGAAAAAAGTGAGTTTCTGGGCTAGCGACATATCACTGGCAGAGCCCAGAGATAGACAAGACCGTGTTCCAGAGAATTGTCTGCTCGGAAGATAGTGTTCAGAGACATGAGGACATAGACTGAGTAGCCAGAGGGGAGGGCCTAGGGCCTGAAAAGCCAGACAGTGGGGTATGAAGCAGGGTGCTGAGCAGGCTTGCAACAGGGGAGGATGGTGGTTATATGAGCTTTGCAGAACCCAGTTGGGCGCCAGGGAAGCGAGTGGACTTGTTTGATGTCCTAGAGCTCTTAGTAGCTGTGTGAAAGCATGGCTGTGAGATGCGATGTTAAGCAGATAGACCTTTCTTTATAGGTGAGCTCATGGGACGGGAACTGAAATGTAACTGAAAGCTCACTTGCTCTCCCACCTGCCATCAGCATGTGGCATTCCTTTCAGAGAACAGATTGAAAACTAAGCCACTAGTTGTTAATTTCATTATTATTTTAGAACCCAGCAATGATGAATTGTTCCTTTTAGGGTGCTGAATAAAAAGTCATTTTTTGCTACAATTCTAGGTTTCTGTTTGGCTTGCTTAAATGAATGTAAGAATCAGTATTATTTTATTGAATAAAGCCCTAATAGAAATGCTACTAAGTAAAATAACATAGTGCATTTAACCAGCTACTTCTGAAATTTCCATAACTCTAAGTGAACCCCGTAACCTCCAGAAAATAACATAAGACTCGAAGGGACTCTGTCTTGGTTCTTCATTACTAACAGTATTAGCAAAGGGATACTGGAGGCCTGGAATGAGTAAAACCTTTCTGACTGCTCCAACAAAAATCTAGCACGTATTGCGTAAGAAGAGGAAGTTGATAACTTGCCACCTCTGCAGGGAAATGATGTTTTTGTTTTTTGTTTTTTTATCTTTTGTTGTCTTTCAGAAGTTACAGTCCCACCCCACAGTCATGCTTTTTGCACTTATCGCACTGGAAAAGTTTGCACAGACAAGTAGGTATAGTGACTTCTTGCACTAATGATCTTATGTATCGGTTGTTAAAACTCTGATTTTTCTCAGTTACTGGATGAGTTTACGCTCGGAACCCCATGGGACATGCATACATCCTGTTTTTGTCTGTGTAGACACCTCAAGGCCAGTAGATGTACCAGGGACAAAGGCAAGAGGTTCTCTCACCTGAGAATCAAAACTTGGTGACCATGATTACCCACTTTTTGTAGCTAAAAAGTTAGCGACGAGGTTGCTACTTTCTAGAAAATAGCAGAGCTCTTGAGCTATGTCATTATTCTAGTCTCCAAGTTCTCTACCTTTCCTCACTCCTTCCCACCACTCATCTGTCCAGCGAATCATCTTACTCTTTCATGGTTCATTCAAGGTTTACATCTTTCCAAACAGGTGAAAATAAGTTGACTATCTCTGAATCCAGCATTAGTAACCGGCTTGTCACATTGGAGTCCTGGACCCACGATCCCGATTATCTGAAACGTCAAGTTGGTTTCTGTGCCCAGTGGAGCTTAGACAATCTCTGTAAGTTTCCATTCCCAAACTTCCTCCTTCTCCTCCTCCTCCTCCTCCTCCTCCTCCTCCTCCTTCTTCTTCTTTCTTCTTCTCCTCCTCCTCCTCCTCCTCATCCTCCTCCTCCTTCATTTTCATCATACATTTTTATTGATTTCAGTTATTGATTTCAGAGAGGAAGGGAGAGGGAGAGAAAGATAGAAACATCAATGATGAGAGAGAATCATGGATCGGCTGCCTCCTCCACGCCCCCTACTGGGGATCACGCCCGCAGCCCAGGCATGTGCCCTTGACCAGAATTGAACTTTGGACTTTTCAGTCTGCAGGCCCATGCTCTATCCACTGAACCAAACCAGTTGGGGCCCAAACCCATTTCTTACATAGGGTCACTGGCCTTCAGTTTGTAACAGTGAGCATGAGTCTTTCCTTATAAGGACCTCTACTTGTAGGTTGGCTGTATTCTAGCAGAAACATATTCTAGGGGCCCTTCAGACAGGAATGACATGGAATGCTTCTGGTTCCAGCACTCTCCCCTTCTAAAACTTTTACTGCTGCCCTGTTTCCTGCTGCATCAAGGCCATTAATCAGATGGCACTGTGTGATCAACTCTTCCCAACACACACTGTCTCCTGCTGTCCTACAAGCAGGTCCCCATCGTTCTACCTCTGGGCCTGTTCCCTCACTAGGCATTTCCTATCTTTACTCTTCTACCTGTCCCATCTTGGCTCTTCAAAACTCAAGTCACGGCCCGGCTGGCATGGCTCAGTGGTTAAGCGATGACCTATGAACCAGGAGGTCACGGTTCGATTCTGAACCCTGGTCAGGGCACATGCCCAGATTGCAGACTTGATCCCCAGTAGGAAGCATGCAGGAGGCAACCAATCAATTATTCTCTCTCATCATTGATGTTTCTATCTCTTTCTTCTTTTCCCTCTCTGAAATCAATAAAAATATATTTTTAACAAATATTTTAAAAAAACAAAACTCAAGTCATGTCTTATCTACACAACAGGGTTGCTCCTGAATTTTCTCTTTTTCTCCTCCAAGGGCTGCTAGA